GGGGGTAGGGAGAAGATGGGGAACAATCCATTGCACAATGAGAAATGCTTGTGGTGAGAAAATGAGAGACTTAGTGCTATGATGGAATCCGCCCAAATGATTTCAACCTATTAATAACAAGAACGGATGAATACAGTGGTACCTCGGGTTACATACGCTTCAGGTTACAGACACTTCAGGTTACAGACTCCACTAATCCAGAAATAGTACCTCGGGTTAAGAACTTTGCTTCAGGATGAGAACAGAAATCGTGCTCCAGCGGCGCAGTGGCAGCAGGAGGCCCCATTAGCTAATGTGGTGCTTCAGGTTAAGTACAGTTTCAGGTTAAGAACGGACCTCCAGAACGTATTAAGTACTTAACCCGAGGTACCACTGTATAGGGGACTGCTAAAGAGAAAACAATATGATTGTTAGCATGTGAAGAGCTGGTAGACGAATACAGTGGTACCTTGGTTTACAACCATAATCCGTTCTGGAGGTCCGGTTGTAAACCAAAACAGGTGACCCAAGGTGAGCTTTTGCCAATGGGGCCTCACCCCCCCCCCAAATTGGTTGTAATCCAAAAAAATGGGTTGTAATGCAAAAAAAGGGACACACACTTCCGGGTTTGATGTGGTTGTAATCCGAAACAGTTGTAATCCAAAGCGGTTGCAAACCAAGGTACCACTGTAATGGTTTTCAGGCCAGAGGTTGTGACATTAAATGTTTGCCATCACAACTGAAGAACTATCTCTACAATCATGGTGACTAGACAATAGCTTTTTATTTGAAATGAAAATGCAGGATACTTATACCACTTAAGAGCCAGCAGACCAGAAGCAAATGACATCTTGGTGATCCTTGTGTATGGATAGGGACATTAGGAGATGAAAAGGACAAGCACTCAAAAACATTGTCTATATTTATGCTGTAAATTCTATGGAAAGATGCAAAGCTGCACTCAAAGAAATATATACATTAACAAGTCTCTGTTCGGCTAATGTAAATAAACTTACTACAGATTGGCTTGATATTATTGTTGCCTGTCACTCTGAAATTTTTTTCGTTTTGAAAGGAAAAACAGGCTTTACATTGACGGCTGCCAGAGTGAGTGTATTACAAAATTATGAGGAATTCACACTGATGCTACCATTCAGAAACACAAGCTACCAATATTGCAAATGTGTCCTTTTGAAGGAACTACTGCATATTGATCATATATATCATTTATGTTTATATAAATATATTTAGGTGCTATACAGTTTTCGGCATGCTTCATTACATCCCTGTAAAGAAAGATAGTATTGTTCCCATTTTATAGATGTTGAAACTGAGGCTGAAGGGAGTTTGCCAGAGGTTCCTCCAGCGAGTCCTTATTCAAAGTGGGGAAATAGACATCAAGGTTCCTCCTTCTATCTCAGTGAAACTTAATGGATTATTAGTGCACTGGCTAGAGCAAAAATGAGGAGATATACATATGTGTGTTGCTCGTGATACTGAGGTTAAGGTAAGAACATTAGGGATCTCACTAGTTTTGTTGGAAATTGCATCAATTCACTTTCCGGATTATTGGAAGGAAAGGTGGAAATAAATCTATTTGTTTTGCATATATAATCTGCATATATATGCAAGCACATATATATTATACATATGAATATAAAAGGGGACTTCTTTTATATTCAGCAGGTAAAGTTTCAAGTTTTGTCCATACTTATCAATTACAGGCAAAGAGGCACTCATAACTTCCTGAAAAACTTTCTCACAAGCCATCAAGATTGAGGTTAAAGCACCGTTTTTTTGTAGACTTTGTCTAACCTTTGACAGACAGAAATAAAACAAAGTCAACAACATGGGCATATATCTTGGACACCTCCTTTATGCTCTTTGAATCAGTTCAGTTCACTTTTGAAACATGAAGGGAAAGGACAGCATCATGTTAGTGAATAACTGTTTTCTCCATAGATACAAATCCACAGTTCAGCTGGACTTTGATGTACAATGAAGCAACAGAAATCACCATGCAGACTGCAGCAATTGCTGCAAAGTGTGTGTCATTATGCTGGTGGTTGCAAATGGTCAACAGGTCTATTGGTGCTGGGTAAAAACATGTTCCCTAACCGAATGTCAGCTCTTTACGAATGCTTCCTGTCTTGCCCCCAATTGGCTTTTACCATATGAACCAGATACAACGTTCCCTCTAGGACAGGGATGCAGAACCTGTGGTCCCCCAGATGTTGCAGGACTACAACTTCCACATCCTGGACCACTGAGCATGCTGGCTGGGGCTGATGGGAGTTGGAGTTCAACAAAATCTGAAGGTTCCCTCTCCCTGCTCTAGAACAGGAATGGTGTCACAGGCTGTCCTGATGTGCACGGCCGCTGCAAGATGATCTTGCATTTACTCCACACTTTCAGTGAAGAAGGTTACTCCTGTGAACCGAGTCCTGGGCCCAATGGATTGAAAGAACATTGAATTTGGAGACTGGCTTCCACATAACAGCCTTTGTCCATATGTCCTGAGTCATACCTTGCCTGCTTCCTCCAGCTGCTGCTGTAACTCTGAGCACAGTGGAGGGAAAGTAAAACAACATAAACTTCATGATCCCGGGGAAATCTGAGAAATGGGTCAAGCATATAGTGGAGTGACCACCCCCAGCCTGGTACCTTTCAGATGTTTTGGACAATGCCCATCATCCCTGACCATTGGCAGTACTGGCCAACAAAATCTGAGAGGCATGAGGTTGTAGAAAGCTGCCATAGATACTGCCAAATGGAGGTGGGTGAATTATTAGATATGAACATTCCAGGTAGAATCCTACATTCTTAGGGCATAAGACACAGGTAGAGAGAGAATAGCACTTCCTATAGACTGTGCTTTGTCTGCGGTTTAGGAATAACTTGTGGTCCGCTACTGGATCCTAACCAGGATGTTGGAAATTCAGCACTAGAGGGAGGATCCAGGCTATGGATGTTTGAGGACACACACAATTAAGCAGGTCTTTGGGAAGGAAGTACACATTTGCAGAGCAACTGGTGATAATAAGAACCAATGACAGATGGAGCGCCTTTACCAGCACCAGCAGGGCAAAGGTTGGGGAGACAGTTCTGTTATACAGTTTCTGGGTCCATTTTTTGGTCAACAAAACCATCTCCCTCCCATTGAAACTGGAAGAGGGTGAGCTCCAAGGCTGGCACGACCTCTCTACACACATTTTATGGGAAAGAGGGAAGAGGAACTGAGAAGCAGTACAGGATGGTCCATTAGGGCAGATGTGCCACTGACCTTAGCCAGTCTCCACCTGCCTGCCTGCTTGCTTACTTGCAACCCAACCAGAGGTGGCAATGGCTATCAGTTTCTCCTCCTCCACCTCAATGCTGTCCTTGTAGGACTCAACAGGGAGGAGAGTAAGAATGGGGACAAATCTAGAATTGGTTGGTTCTGCCTGCCTTTGGCTCTGCCTTGGTTTGCTTTTGTTTTGCTTATGTATTTTGTGTTTTTATCCCGTATTTTTATGCTGTGAACCACCCTGAGACCTATTATTATTATTTATTGAATTATACCCAGAGGTCTCAGGGCGGTTCACAGATCTATGGGTGAAGGGTGGTATACAAATTTAATAACCAATAATAGTAATGTACAAATGGTTTCTCTAAATTATCAGCACTATTTGTTGACAGAGAAATGCTGGGGTGTGTGTGTGGTCAAACCACTAAATTTATCCAGGGGGTTTTAGAAATTCTGTAATATTTTCTCAGAGGGTAGCACTAGAGCTTTTTTATTCTTTTTGCATAGATTGTTGATGTTGTTTCTACGGCAACTGTGTTGGCGGCCTACCCACCAAATTGCACCATCCACAATACCCCAGACTTAGTGTCGTTCCAGAGCATTGTAGGGGTGGGAAGCGGTGGCTGCCACACAAACAAATTGTAAAGAATATTCAGAGAACATTTGGCAAAATAAGTTTTATTTTCTAGGGAGCCATATCAGAAATTCTCCTCAGAAAAATGTTTTCTGAGAAATCTTGGCTCACTTCTGGTATGTGTGTGTTTTCTTCTTGAGCTGATTCTGTGTGATCGCTGCAAGTACAAATACACCTGTATCCACAGTGCTATTTTTCTAGAAAAAGAGGTGCTGGAACTCACCATGAACACCTTCCTAGTGCTCTTAGAATGGCAATGGCGCCCAGCTGAGAGGTGCCAGAGTTTTGGCTGAAAAACCCCCCTGCCTCTCTCTCTCTCTCTCTCTCTCTCTCTCTCTGTGTGTGTGTGTGTGGACAGCAACCATAGAACAAAACTGGCCATAGTAATTCCAACACCCTGACAGAACAGAAATGTGGTGAAGTGTAATCAGATGACCGTGGGAAAGAAAACCTTTATTTTATACCGCCGATTAAGGCTGGCTTCACACTTGGAATCCTTGTGGGGTGAACCCTATCAACCTGACAGCCCCCAATAACTGATTCTTGCCCTGAACCCTTCCTTTAAATATTTCCCCTCAGACCAGAGCTCCAAGCCGTCGGGTCTAGCAATCATTTTAGGGCAGGGCCGCAAAACCTTTGGTCCTCCAGTCAGTGCTGGACTCCTATCAGTGTCCAACCAAGGATGGGCCAATGATCAGGGATGATGGGAGTTGTAGTTCAGCAACCTCTGGAGGGCCAGAGGTGCTCCCCGCCCATTTTAGGGGCCTTGTGGGAAATGAAAATGACAGCTTGACCCAGCTACTTGGTGCTGTTTGGTGTGCTCAGAATAAGCCCAGCTGGGCCTGATAAGGGAGGAAAGGGGCCACCAGATACACTCGATTCAAGCAGGAACCAGCAAGTGCCACAGATCCATAAACAAGTTCACAAGCAGTAAGATGGTTTAGTGGTAAGTTTCCAACCTCAGAGAAATTCATTTTTGAGATACTGAATAGCCCAATGAAGCATCTAGTCTCCTGTTCCTGAGGACGACTGCAGTAACTGTTGGACAGAAAAAAGTCCCTTGTTCCTTCTCAGTTTGCCCCACCCCCCCAGTTTGCAAGCTCACATTGTCCAAAACTGAAGGTTCACCAGCTGCTGAGAATCCAAGAGGTGGTATTTATTATCTTCCGTGTGATACGGAGACCTCAGGACAGGCAGAGGGTCTGGGGAGGAGAGAATGTAATCAATGCTAAATTTAATTTCGGAGTCAGATTTTCCTATGGAGGAGCTGTTTAGACTCTCACGGCTGGCGGCGGCATTTGGAAAAAGCTCGCAAGTCTCCAAAGCTTTGGGCTGGGGTTGCACTCTCTGAGCAGGACAGGAGTTGATTCTGGGGAATCCTGAATCCACCGGGGACAGAGCTTGCAAGCAGTCGCTCCCGCCATTTGGCTGTTTGTCTCTGGGTTCCCTTTTGACGTTCTTCCTCCTCCTCCTCCTCCTGTAGTTCCCATTTTCAAACAGGTCTAACATAGATTCACATCCCGATGCAAAGCTCCAGTAATTCCCCTTCCCTTTGTCATTGCCTTCTGTCCGGGGAACCTGCAATTCATTGTTTTTAAAATAATAATAAAAGAGAGAGAGAAAGCATCCATTCTGTCAGTTACTGCCTTAAGAGAAATATAAAACCATCTAGCAAGGCTATCTGGAAACTGCAACCTTTCCCTCATCTCAGACCTTTATCCCCTAATCCAAGAGTGGAAGAGAGTGGGGGACTGCACTCTGCACATGCACAGGAACTCTCTCGGTTTTCTTATTGCTATTCATTCCCAAGGTCTAAGGTTGATGCACAGCATTCAGAACAGATTGCGGAGCTGAAGCCTGGGCGAAAGCAAAACCCGAATTCGGCATTTGTGTGCATGTGTGCTACAAACACAGCCGCTTCAACATCTGTGTCCGTTTAAATGCAAGTCTCGTATAAACATATATGACAAACTGTTGAAGACCAGGCTCTCTAATTATAGAAGTTGTAGGCAAATAGCCCCTTTCATTTGCTATGTACTAGCATACATCAGAAGAAAACAATATCTGCATTTTCTATCCTTCCATCCAGAAGCAGCTAAGAGGGCAAAAGGATATTTTCAATGATCTCCATTTACTTAGAGCTGAGCTTCTCTTTCTCCCTACCAACCTTGGACAGTGGCTTTCAAACTGTGTTCCACAGAGCCTTGCGGTTCCTCCAAAGCTTATCAGGAGTCATGTGAGGAAAATATCCATCATGCTGTATAAGCTTTCCGGAAAGGCTGCTTGCTCTCTACAGTGGTACCTTGGGTTACAGACGCTTCAGGTTACAGTCGCTTCAGGTTACAGACTCCACTAACCCAGAAATAGTACCTCGGGTTAAGAACTTTGCTTCAGGATAAGAACAGAAATCGCGTGGCGGCAGTGCGGAGGCAGTGGGAGGCCCCATTAGCTAAAGTGGTGCTTCAGGTTAAGAACGGACCTCCAGAACGAATTAAGTTTTTAACCAGAGGTACCACTGTATTACTGATCTTGTTGGTGCTGACCTTTAAAGCCCTAAACGGCCTTGGTCCTGTATACCTGTATACCTGAAGGAGCGTCTCCACCCCCATTGTTCAGCCCGGACACTGAGATCCAGCGCCAAGGCGGTTCCCTCATTGCGAGAAGTGAGGTTACAGGGAACCAGACAGAGGGCCTTCTCGGTAGTGGTGCCCACCCTGTGGAACGCCCTCCCATCAGATGTCAAGGAAATAAGCAGCTATCCTATTTTTAAAAGACATCTGAAGGCAGCCCTCTTTAGGGAAGTTTTTAATATTTAATGCTGTGTTGTTTTTAACACTCGATTGGGAGCCGGCCAGAGTGGCTGGGGAAACTCAGTCAGATGGGCGGGGTATAAATAATAAATTATTATTATTATTATCTTCCCTGTTCAGCCACCAAGCTCAAAGTGAGGAATGACAAGAGCTGTAGTTCAAAGTATCTGGAGAGTATCTGGTCATATACACATTGGAGCACAGATATTCTGTGTGTGTTTGTGTGTATTGCTTTTGCTATATCATCCCAAGGGTCTGCTCTGCCCTAAGATCCTCCCCTTCTGAATTCTGGATAAATGCAGGTCATTATTTTTTTTAATTAATTAATTCTGGCTACGCAGCTTGTTGCAGTTGATTTGCATCTTTCTCCCCTCTATGTTACGAACCTGCATTGAGAACACATTGTTATAAAAGGAGGAATGGACAAATCTGTCAATTTTGGTTCTCCAAGGTTCTCATTTTTCCAATCTTAAATTCAGTTTTCCCTATTTCCACAGGTATTTGTTGCTGCTGATCCCCATGAAAATTCCTCAGCAACGTAATGCAGATTGTCCTAATAAATACATTCGGTTTTGACTAATATACACATCTTTGCAAGTAACTCTCCCCTAATGTAATGCAATTCTGCGTGTTGCATTCATTTATATGCACACTTTGCATCAATATACACATTTTTGTACAAATAACTTGGCTGAAGAACTGCAGCCCAAAATATAGAGAAGTGTGAATTTCAAAGGATGGCTGTGTTTTAGGTTGCATTTTGGTGCAAATTAGGTATGTTTGCCTTAAATGTGAACTGAATCAATTTTTCCCCACATCTCTAGATAGCAGCAATCTCCATCTGATTGTAGGAACAGTTATATTTAGATATTTTTTTCCCTTTCAAGACCTCACAAGGACATCGGTAAAATGCCACGCAAAAAGAACCACACCATTGCATGAAGTTTCCTTTTCGTGTTTGCAATGCTACCTGCTCAGACTGTTTATCCAACTAGCCCAGTATAGCCTGCACTGACTGGCAGCATCTCTCCAAGGGTCCAAGGCACAGATCTTGCCCATCACTTGCTACTCAATCCTTTTCACTGCTGATACAACTGACCTTTTGCATTCAAAGTAATGTGCTCCACCACTGAGCTCAGGTCCCACTATGTAACATTTGCCAGCTCTCCAGATGACCTTCATGTTCCTGGGTTGCACAGCCTTCCACCTGAGCATGAGCTGATACATGTACAGTAGCACTCCTATGCATTATCATCAGAGAGCAGTGGCTGCAACTGAGGACATGCTGAAATCATGACTTAAATGTGTAAACCACTTAGAGGCTACAGATGATTTAGCGGTATAGAAATCTTGTTAAATATGGGATCTGCAACAAAATGTTGCAGCGTGGAAGGAGTCTTGTACAGGAAACTCCATTCCATTCCCCTTCCCACTTGGCTTTCAATCATCGCACCCAAGAGTCAGCCAGCATTCTATGTCCACTGAGCATGTTCAGTCCTCACTCGGTTGTTGGAGGTTCCAGCTTAAGTTTTCCCCTCCAAATACCCTCTGTGTGGGGGGTATTTTAGCTCCATAAGCAACAGCCCATGGATGTTGCTCCACTAAGGACATTGCCCCATTAACCTCCATCTATTCTCAGTCAGCTCTCACCAGCCTCCCTTTCTGCTTACAACAAGTTCAGGAATTGACACTGCCTGTCCACTTCCTCTTCCTCATAGTCTTTGTTGCCCTTTGCAGAACCCAGCAGGGAGGAGGATGCGGCAAACTGAGAATTAATTGGTTCTTCCTGCCATTGGCTCTGGCGCCACCTACTGTTAGGCTCCCTGCCTTCCACCCAACCAGTCACCATAGTTGCCAACCATCACCAGCCATAGCACTCGCAATCTGGACTTCAGAAATAGAGAGGATATTTTTGCCCATGCAGCTGCACTTCGAGAATGCTTGGACCACGGCTCTATAGTAGAGAGCACACTTTGCATATGAAAGAGTCCAGGTCAGATCTTTGACATCTGCTGTCAAAAGGACCAGCTAAGCCTAAGCCCCCTGTCTGTGACCCCGGAGAGCTGCTCTCATCTAGAGAAGACAATTCAGGCCTCGATGGACAAACAGCCTCACCCATCATAAAAGAGCAGCCTTTCTCAACCTGTGGGTCCCCAGATGATGTTGGACTACAACTCCCATCACCCCTAGATAGCAAGGCCAGAGCTCAGGGATGATGGGAGTTGTAGTCCAACAACATCTTGGGACCCACAGGTTGAGAACCGTTATAATAGAGCTTTCTTCGTTTCCTATAGTGCTATGCTGAAAACCTATTCCTGTCCTCGTCTCCCTGTTCCTTGCTGGTCATTCTCCATAAATAAATTGCTTTTTAAAAAATTATCCAAAAGGAGAGCACATTTTGGTGAAATTTCCCTGGGTCAGATGTGTATGTGCTTCTTCTGCTTTCAAGATGACCCAGGGCATTTCTGAGTTTCGATTCCTTCGTTCTACAAATCGCCTGCAAACTACAGGTCTCCTGGGTGCCCATGCTTCAGTGAAAGTTCGAAGGAAGACGTCAGATCAGGAAGCACAGGCAGCCAAGGAGGTTGCAAAGAGTTGGAGCTATGTTTCTTGGAAAGAACACCCACAGCCACCTCACAATGCCAAAGGAAGCTCAAAACTCCACACCCACCAAAACCCTAAAGCATGGGTAAGCAAACTAAGGCCCAGGGGCCAGATCTGGCCCAATTGGCTTCTAAAGCCGGCGGGCGGATGGCCCAGGAATCAACGTGTTTTTACATGAGTAGAATGTGTCCTTTTATTTAAAATGCATCTCTGGGTTATTTGTGGGGCACAGAAATTCGTTCATTATTTTTTTTCCAAAATATAATCCGCCCTCCTCCCCAAGTTCTGAGGGACAGTGAACCAGCCCCCTGCTGAAAAAGTTTGCTGACCCCTTTCCTAAAGCATCTCTCAAGGGTCCAGAGATGGAGACATGCGAATGGAGTGTAAACCAAGCCTTATGAAGAGTGGTTGAGGGAGTTGGGCATGTTCAGCCTGGAGAAGAGAAGAGAGAGGAATATGATAGCCGTCTTCAGATACCTGAAGGGCTGTCACATAGAAGGTGGAACAAGCTTGTTTTCTAATCACTCAAGAAGGTAGAACCCGAACAAATGAATTCCAATTGCAAGTAAGGAGATTTTGGCTAAACATTAGGGAGAACTTCCTGATGGCAAGGGCTGTTTGATAGTGGAATGGACTGCCTCAGAAGGGGGTAGACTTTTTTTTTCATTTTTCAGCAGAGGTTAGATAACCATCTGTCAGATGTACTTTAACTGTAATTCGTACATTGGACTAGATGGCCCTTGGGGTACCTTCCAACTCTAAAATCCTATGAATCTGTGATTATAATAACATAAGGAAATTCCTACTGAATCAGGCTAATGGCTCTAGTCCTGTTCTAGTATACCTGAAGGAGCGTCTCCACCCCCATCATTCTATCTGGACACTGAGATCCAGCTCCAAGGGTCTTCTGGCGGTTCCCTCACTGTGAGAAGTGAGGTTACAGGGAACCAGGCAGTTACGCCTGCCCTGTGGAATGCCCTCCCATCAGATGTCAAGGAAATAAATATCTGACTTTTAGAAGACATCTGAAGGCAGCCCTGTTTAGGGAAGTTTTTATGTTTGATGTTTGATCGTGTTTTTAATATTCTGTTGGGAGCTGCCCAGAGTGGCTGGGGAAACCCAGCCAGATGGGCGGGGTTATAAATAATAAATTATTATTATTATTCTCACAGTGGCCCTTTTAAAAGTGTTGTGGATGGAGGGATTATTGGGTTGTCTTTATTCTTATTTTTATTGTGTATTTTGTGTTGTTTATATTGTACAGTCATACCTCGGGTTACAGACGCTTCAGGTTGTGCGTTTTTGGGTTACGCACCGCGCTGAACCCGGAAGTACCAGAACAGGTTACTTCCAGGTTTCGGCGCTCGCGCATGCACGGAAACACTAAATCGCGCTTTGCGCATGCGCAGAAATGCTGAATTGCAACCCGTGTGTGTGCAGACGTGCCGCTGCGGGTTGCGAACGTGCCTCCCACATGGATCACGTTCGCAACCTGAGGTTCCACTGTTAATTTATGTTGTGAACTGCCCTGAGATCTATGAGTATAGGGCAGTATACAAATTTAATATAATGACGACGGCGACGATTTGTGCATGGGCAGCCTGAAAGCAGGATGTGAGCGCAACAGAGCTCTTCCAGTTTGTGATGCGCAGCAACTGGCGCTGAGAGGCTTATTGAAAGCCTCCTTTCACAGGGGAGAAATCAAGAGCCAGTTTTCAGCACAGCACTGGTTCCCTATGGCCACATCTGAGCTGATTCTACAGCCAGATGTGCACAGCATCCTCTTGCAAATAGGGCTCCCAACCGAGCAGCTTGCAGAACCCAAGTTTCCCTTTCTAGGTTGTGGACTGCTGCCCATGTTGCTGTGGTTTGTTGGTCCTACCTTGACAAAGCAGCTGTTGAGGGAGAGGTTGTGGCGGATGGAGTTCTGCCAGGCTCGCTGGTTTGTCCTGTAGTAAGGGAATTTCTTCATGATGAAGTCGTAAATGCCAGAAAGAGTCACTTTGTTGGAGGGGCTCTGCTGAATGGCCATTGCAATTAAAGCGATGTAGCTGCAACATGAAACAAAGCAAAACGAATCACAATACCGTCCTGTATAGAAAGGTGTCGATGCTACGGGCATAGAGATTCTGGAAACAACATCGCATAAGATTCAATCCCGCTCCAAGGCTGTGATCCTAAACACACACATTCAGGAATAAGCCCCGCTGAATATGACAAGGACTTTGATCCAAATAGACATGCATAGGATTGTTAGTTGCAGTGACTTCCCATTGAAGTCAATGGGGCTTCAATTAAGTCAGGACGAACTATGCAGAGAGGCCCCATTGAAACCAAAGTAACAACAATGGGACCTACATAACAATGAGACCTAACGCTCAATAGCTAACACTCTTCCTCATGAGTAAGTGCCTTTGTTTTCAGTAGGGTTCAGTAGGACTACAGCTTTAGCCTCAGTCAGGATCCAACCCTAGATATCTTTCATGCATAATGCTGTTCTAAGTTCTCAAATCATTGCTGCAGTAATGTATGATGATGATGATGATGGTGATGATGACCCGTTTTATTTATTTATTTCTCAGCTTTCCTTCAGGGAACCCAGGTGAACATTCATAATTCTCTACCCCACCACTTTTTGCAGTGCAACAACCCTATGAGGTAGGATAGGATCAGAGACAGAGAGGCAGAGTGTGTTTCTGGCCCAAGGTCACCTAGTGATCTCTATGACTTAGTGGGGATTTGAATCAGCCTTGGTCCAGTGCTCAAATTGCTATACCACACTGTCTCCCATATTACCAGTGGAGACTGAGAGATAGAAGCCTGCCTTAGGTCAGGTGGTAACTAAACTGGGAGCTTATCAGCTCATCACTCATGCTCTTAACTTTGCGCTGCAGAGCTCCATCCATTGGACAGTGCTGCTCTTGAGATGCCCACTTTCTTTGGATAGTCTCTTGAGAGAGTTGTTTGAAGCACTGGGCTCCATGAGTGCGGTCAGTGGGTATTAGGTTGTATCCAACACTAGCCCTACACAGAGTAGACCCATTGAAGTAAACTGCCCTTTGTCATAAGGTCCCAGGGTGAGTTGCAACAAGAAGAGGGTAAGTTGGAAAAACTTCCAAGTCATTGACAAACAAAGTCTGCATGCTGGAATTTGAGTCCAAATCTCATGTTAGCTCTCAAATCAAGTCACATTCTCCCACTGAGAACACCTGGGCATTTATGACTCAGGAAAGTTGATTGCGGAAAGCACAAAGCGTTTCTTTAAAAAGAGATCCTGAAAGTAGGATTTACGCCTAGTAGAGATGTCCTGAATTCTCCTTCAGCCCTTGTCTACAGCAATGACTGACCCATTATTGCATGAGAAGTAGCAGGACTGCTGCTGACTGCCCATTTTAAGTAGAAGGAAAATACTTAAGGATTCTTCCAGTTGCACAGTGAGAAATGCAATCTCTCTGTTTTGGCAACTGTTTTTCCATTCCACTCAAGTGAAAGAGCTTTGATTTAAAACACACAAACACACAGCACCACCAAAAAGCATGCCCAGGCACGTTTTGCAACTTTTTTGAAAAACCAACAACAACAGAAGTTTCTCAGCACTGAAATTCCTGTGAATTGTGGCAGGCGGTTGCACTTCATATCAAAGGATCACTTTGCAATTCAGTTCTGTCCAGGTTGACTTGGATGTGGCATGTGCCACTGAGTTCTAGGGGGCTCAGGTGACAATTCTACACATGTTTACCTGGGAGTAAGCCCCATAGAACTTAATGGGGCTTGCCTATGAGTAGACATGCATAGGATGCACGGTTATTCCCATATAACTGTGCATAGTGGAACAGGAAGTATTTCTCCTTGTGATCTTTAGAAAGTGCAACTTAATGTAAATAGTGGATTAATCAACTCGTGCTTCGGTTGATTAATCTTTAGCAGTGGATCTGAGAGTTAAGGACATACTCTATTTTTTAAGGTGTGGTGTTAATGCAAGAGAGAATAAAGAAGAAATGGTTAAAGACAATCTTCTCTTTTAATAGTGAGTGGTAAGTATTTGTTCAGTAACCATAAGCTTCCTTCAATCTGTCAAAAAAGAACCTAGATTTTTTTGTAATATGCACATTTGATTAGCTACTTAGTAAGTCAAAATCCAGCCGTTTTGAAAGATTTAGAAGTGACTAAGCAGACTTGCTTGAGAGACTCAGATCCTGAGTATCTCACTTATATCCTTGCCTAAAGTGGTTAATTTATCACCGTATGCATTTAAGATATATTCATTAGATTGTTGCAGAGAATGGGGAGCGGGGTTGGAGATTGATCAGAGGACAGCAATCCCTATCAGTTACATCAATTCTAAAACTTAAATAAGGCTACATTTTGGGGGGGAAATACTTATGACACTGTACACATTTTATCCGCCAAACAACCCTCTGCAGTAGGCAAGTCTGATCAGACTGAGGCCACCCAAGCAAACCTTTTTTTGCCACTTCAGTCTAGAGCCCCCCTGGTTGAAATCCAAACTCAGCCTGGCTCCTATTTGTAAAATAATGTGAGCAGTTGAAATGCATTAAAACAAGTCATTAAAAAAAAAAATCCAAAAATCATTGCAACCCCATATCCTTTTTATTTTGTTTTTGTTTGCCCACACCTGGAAGATGCTTGTGGATGAGCGTTGCAAAGAATCACAGAGGAATTCCCCAGCAACTGACAATATGGAGAGAGAGAGAGAGAGAGAGAAAGAGAGTTGGAAAAGTTAAGCTTACCTGTATGCTGGTCTGGTGAACCTTTTCTCTTCATCAGAGCTGCAGGTTGGGTAATCATCCCCATCGTAATTAAAGCAATTATAGGGGTACTGGGTGTTATCAAACATATTCCTTGTCCTCTTTTGGCTTCTGTGAAGTAGGAGAGAAAGAGAGAGGGAGAGAGGTGGAAGAATGATGCTTCTCTGTTTCTTCTCTCCTCCCTCTTTTCCTTTGCTTCCACCCTCCCTCCTCTCTCTCCCCCCCCCCTTTTAATCCACACAGTGGCAATTTTTGTTGTTGCAGTCTTGAAGTCCCCAAACAACCCTTTCTGAATCTCCTCGGTGGGCTCGTTCTCCCTTCCCCCTGCTCTCGCTGGAGGAAAATGAAAAAGGCAGCGACTAACCGATTCAAGTGTGGTAAAGGTCTCTCCTGAACCTTTGAACTTGGGTGTATGCAACAGCCAGTAGCTATGCAATCCCGGCTTCCTGGGTGGTCCCCCACTGGCAAGATGGGCACCAGCCTCCCACTTGCCAACGACATACACAATGTGGCCAAATTAAATAGCCCAACTGGCTTCATAACTCTTTCTTGTAAACAAGGCTCCAGAGTTCCTTCTCTTCCTTGGTGTTTAAGACAAATAAAGGAGACATAGGACAATCCCAATCACTCTGGGTTGTTGTGTTTTTTCTTTTCCAAAATCCATCCCTCATTGAGTCATAAATAAAACCCCCTTGAGAGGACATGGCAAACTGCCCATCCTGGTGTTTTGCTTTGTTTTGTTTTTTAACCCCCCCCCCAACGGGCGTAAATTCTGTTTCCACAACTGGGGAGGGGGGTGGAAATACACACAAATGTGTGTGTCTCTGTGTGTGTCAAAGAGGACAGAACAGAAGGACTGGTGGGGGGGGACTACTGTCAAGTAGGAAAGTAAAAGGAAAATAGCTGTAGGCAGGATAGCTGCCTGTGTGGGCTTTGATCTGTAGGATGAATTAGACTAATAACTCTCTGTGTTGGCATCCAATCCTGTAACAATTTGATAGTCTCTCTCTCTCTCTCTCTCTCTCTCTCTCTCTCTCTCTCTCTCTCCTCCTTCTCTTGCAATGCTTTGGAGTGGTTTCCAACATGTGTTGTAAAACTAAAGGCAAATCATTCAACGGTTTCATTATGGGAAAGGAGGGGGTTCCCTGAAAGGTGTGCACGCTACATGATAATTAAATTATTTGAAGACAGCCACTTCCCCCAGGAAGCCAGCTACTCTGAGGAGAAGAGGAGCCAATGCAAATTGGTGGCTTGCTTTGGAAGAGGGTTGGCTGGATTGGAAAACGGTGGGAAAGGCAGGAACAAAGGAAGTTGGATCACTGGTTCACCCAATGAAATGTTCTCTACATCAGGGTAGGGAATCGCAGGCTCAAGGGTCAAATGTGGCCCTTGGTGCTTTTCCAACCAGCCCTTAGGATGTTTCCCTGGCCAAGAACGGCATTGCAATTGTACAACTTGGAGGTTATCAGAACATGGATAGCTCCGCTGGTTAGTGTGTGGCGCTGATAACGCCAAGGTTGCAAGTTAGGTCCCCATATGGGACAGCTGCATATTCCTGCATTGCACAGGGTTGGACTAGATAAGTGATGGCCACACTTGGCCCTCCAAGTTTTGGGACTGCAATTCCAATCATCCCTGACCACTGGTCCTGTTAGCTAGGGATGATGGGAGTTGTAGTCCCAAAACAGCTGGAGGGCTAAGTTTGGCCATCACTGAACTAGATGATCCTCTGGGTCCCTCCCTATGCTACGATTCTATGATTTTATGGACAACTATGGTCAGACTATCCTGGTGGAATAGAAATGTTTTCAGCAGACATTTCAAGGTTGAAATAGAAAGTACCTGCTTCATTTCTATGTGTGCACATTTTTGTAAGCAGTTTTCCCCAGTATAATGGATTTCTGAATGTTATCTTCACTCACATCTTCATTTTCTCCTAATAAACTCATTTTTGTAAAGACTGTTTCATTGGCAACCTGCATTGCAAAATTCAGATGAGTGCAAATTTCAAAGGCTAGCTATGCTTCGGTTTAAATGTTGTTTTAGGATGTGCAAATTTGGTAGATTTGGCTTTAAATGAGACCTGAATTGAATTTCACCTCAATTCCTAATTTCCCCAAACCCCACCCCACCCTCCCACTATATATAAGGGTCTGGTGACTTCTGTTTCAGTGTATCTGAAAAAGTATGCATGCACACAAAAGCTTATACCCAGAACAAAGTTAGTTGTTCTCTAAGGTGCTACTGGACAATTTTTTAATTTTTAATTTATTTCAACTGCATCAGACCAACACGGCTACCTACCTGAATCTAGAATCCTAGTACTGAGTTAATCTTAGCTTTGGCTTACTGTGATGTGTGTGAACCAAGCTTCTCTCTGTGTGTAAATCAGGGCTAAACAACATAGTGCCATCCAGGTGTTGATGGACTGCAACTGTCACCATCCCTGACCATTGGCTATGCTGGCTGGGAATGATGGGAGTTGATGGGAGTTGACAAGTGTTGGTGCTGACCTTTAAAGCCCTAAATGGCCTCGGTCCAGTATACCTGAAGGAGCGCCTCCACCTCCATCGTCCTGCCTGGACACTGAGGTCCAGCTCCGAGGGCCTTCTGGTGGTTCCCTCGCTGCAAGAAGCCAAGTTACAGGGAACCAGGCAGAGGGCCTTCTCAGTAGTGGCGCCCACCCTGTGGAACGCCCGCCCACCAGATGTCAAAACTAAAAATAACTACCAAACTTTTAGAAGACATCTAAAGGCAGCCCTGTTTAGGGAAGCTTTTAATGTTTAATAGGTTATTGCATTTTAGTGTTTTGTTGGAAGCCGCCCAGAGTGGCTGGGGAAACCCAGCCAGATGGGCAGGGTATAAATAATAAATTATTATTATTATCCAACAATTTCTGGAGGGCCACAGGTCCCCCAGCCTCCTATGTAGCACTCTTTCTTAACAGCTTCATGTGTTCTTCTTCCATACACTCTGGAGGCAAACAACAGGGTGGTTAAAGATGATGGTGAATTTAAATCAGTTTGCATTTAAAGGCAACTCTACTGATTACACACTTTTACGAGAGGAAGCTCAGGGATTGTCCAAAATTCACACTTCTCCAAATTTTGTGATGCAGTTCTCCAGCCAAGCCAAATGTCTATGTTATGGTGAAAAGTGTCTATAAAAATGCATCTATATTAGGAAGGGAAAAAAGAAGCAAACACCAAAGCATGATATTAAAGGAGAATGCTTTTTGGGAAAATATGCTTATTAGACAAAATGCATAGGGAAGATGGGTCGATCAGAAGCAATTTGCACTAAAATCCTGATGGATTCTCACGAGGACTTTTTTAAAGAAAAAGGAAGAAAAATCACGAAACTGAATGGAAATGTGGGGAACTGAACTTTAGGCTGGAAAAATGAGAAACGGGGAGAAACTGAAGCAGACAGATTCTCTCATCCCTGGTTTCAGATTGCCCTATATTGTGTCCAACATAGAGGCACAGCAAAGAGTGCAGGAATTTGTGGCACATCTTATGCCTTGAGCATCTCTACACCAAGCATAGAAAGCCGTGTTCCCATTGCTTCCATTTCAGAAGTTCAGGGGTGGAGTGCAGAACCTTACATCGCCAAAACAGCACCATCCATGTGCAAGATGAAGGTATCGTCAGGCTCAAGAGAACCCCAAAGCTCTCAGAAGTGCTAAAAATCTTTGAAACTAGAACCTTAAGGAGTGTGTGCTTGGAGGGGAAGAGACTCAGAAAGAGCCAAATGGGAACTGAGCATGCTCAGCAGCCGCAGAATGCTATTTGACTATTGGGGAAGGGAAGGGAAGGGAAGGGAAGGGAAGGGAAGGGAAGGGAACAGTGCCGGATTTAAGTACAGTGGTACCTTGGGTTAAGAACTTAATTCATTCTGGAGGTCTGTTCTTAACCTGAAACTGTTCTTAACCTGAAGCACCACTTTAGCTAATGGGGCCTCCCATGGCTGCCGCACCGCCGGAGCACAATTTCTGTTCTCATCCTGAAGCAAAGTTCTTAACCTGAGGTACTATTTCTGGGTTAGGGGAGTCTGTAACCTGAAGTGTCTGTAACCTGAAGCGTATGTAACCCAAGGTAGCACTGTATAAGCTAAACAAGCTATAGCTTACGGCCCCACTCTCTTGGGGCCCCCAAAAAAAATTTAAAGGGGAAAAAAACCTGGATGTACATTTCCAAAATATAAGATAAAAAAATAAATAGAATAAAACCTACATACATCAACAGTGTTTTGTGTTGTGTAGGCTCCTATTTGTTATGTGCAAACAGCTTTAGATACCTATTAGGTCCATAAATTACCATATAGCATATATTCAACACAAAAAAACAGTGACAATTTGTTGTTGGCAAAGGACAGCTGGACATATAAAGGGCCCCATTACCTTCAGTAGCTTAGGGCCCCATCAAACCTAAATCTGGCCCTGGAAGGAAAGGGAGAAGTCGGTGTGGGGGGATGGAATGGAATATTTTAGAGGAGAGTGCAGAACCTTACAGAAAACTGTCTTATACTGAGTCAGGCCATCTTTTCATGTAGCTCAACATTGTCTATGCTAACTAGAAGTGACTCTTGGGGATTCCTGGTGGGGGGCCTCTCCTAGCCATGCCTGGAGGTGCTGGGGATACAATCTGGGAACTTTTGAGTGTGCGACCAGTGAGCCACAAGGGTGCTCCATAATCCCACATTTTGCCCCACACCCCTTCTGTATGAACTAACTGCAAATCCCACACTGAGCCTGCATAAATGAATTTTTCCTAAAATGAAATGGGATATGAATGTAAAACCTTCTCACACAACCTACCTGTAGGAGTTTCAGGGAGCTGAAAGCATTTTGGTAATATTAGCAACGTTTCTGTTTTGCGAGTTGCTCTAACGTGCTAAATTTAACTTATCCTGTTTTGTCTGCCTTGCATTGTTTGGGCGTGTTGTGGTTGTTCTAAAAACGAATGTCAAGCATGGGCCATTGGGTGCATCTTCTTGCAGATTGGAAAAACAACAACAACAACTAGACAACTGCCCTAGATTACTTGAAGTCAACAAACAAAGTAGGAATTTGGATTCCTACAGTGAG